AGCTCTTTGGAGAAACCTCTATGGGCATGATGCTGACAAACACAATTATGGTGACACCGAAATGCAAACTCACTAGAACAGGTTTCTGGCACGCCTAAGGGGCGCAACTCTGCACATCCTCATTAGACGACGGGGCACCCGTACTATCTACATCAGGTGAAAATACTCGAGTGTGGACAAGAAAAATCACTGACCGAAAACGTGAGCAACTATTCATGCTATTGGGACACGATGACACGGAGCCACCCAAGTTACCGGACTATCCAATACCCTTTGACTTTAGGTCCCTACACCAAGCATGAGGTATACTGGAAATGTTTCCTGACCCATAGTCCGTAGCTTTAAAGTTTATGAATGCACTTTACCAATATTTAACATGTAAGTAGCATGTATTCACTATATATGCAACAGAGTATTAAACCGAGTTTTAACTTCTTTGTATTTGGAAAATAATCCAAATCCACCATGTGTGTACTTTCTTTCGTACGTCAGTATATATATTTCTTGAGTAGGTATATATATATATATATATATATATATATATATATATATATATATGACGAGCGAACGTTTTCACCACTACCCCCAAATAAATATAAATGTAAATATATTATATATATATATATATATATATATATATATATATATATATATATATATATATATATATATATATTTTATTTTTGTTGTTTTTGTTGTTGTTGTTTTTGGGGTAAAACGTTCGCTCGTCACGCCGAAGTTCCGGGTTCGATTCCCCACATGTGTATGATGTGTGAAGTCCATTTCTGGTGTCGCCCACTGTGATATTGCTGGAATATTGCTGAAAGCGGCGTAAAACCGTACTCAGTCAGTCAGTCAGTTATTATTTTGACCCTATATCTGAGGCAATCGGGCTCCTTCTTGTTTAAATGCCGTCTTAATGCTCCAATATTACTATGCATGAAGTAAACAAAAACATGTCATTACACTATGTACTCTGTCCCGCATCTTAAAACTCATTTCTGTCTGTAAAGACAAACATGAACATATGACCTCATTGTACATACCCCTTATAATACCTACCTGTTGTCAGTTGCATAGATACGTCCGTTGATTGCACTGTTGCTGTCGTGCGGACTAGTGTCAGTTGCAGGTAATTCGGCTTAATAAATAATCATTGGCTGTCAGTGATTAGGGAGTGGCAGGGTTATGTGATGGACAGCTTTGGAATTAGTCGGCGACGTGTAACAGGGGTACTGAAGAAAACCCGACCCCTATAGTCGGAGCAAGTGACTTGCGATTAACGCTGGTTTGAACAGTGTTTCATTTACCACGATGTGTCTTCTTGAAGTGGGAGTAAAGTCCGAATGCATTTTATAATGTGAGAGTGAGTTGGGTTTTACGCCACTATTAGCAATATTCCAGCAATATCACGGCGAGAGACACCAGAAATGGGCTTCACACAATGCACCCATGTGGGGTATCGAACCCGTGTCTTTGGCGTGACGAGCGAACGCTTTAACCACTTGACGGTGAAGATACTGTCCTAACTGATGTAGTTCCGTTACATATAAGGCTGTTTGTGTTTAATGTTGTACTCAACAACACTCCAACGATGTTCTGTAATTAAATGAATGTGGATGAGACAATCCAGTGATTGATATTCTGAGCAAGCACCCACGCCGTCTGGCAACGAGGACGTCCCATCCGATCCACATGCTGCCGCTTACAAGAATAGGTTGCCAGGTAACCAATAACCTGGAACTCTCGATGGGTCATCACCTTGTCTCCAGACCTTGCAATATTCACGTAAGAAAATTATCTATCATTAATGGGTTTTCGAAATTTTGATATATTGCACTCGATTAATACAAGGTTTATGGATATCCAAGTTCGTTTTACCGTAAACCCCTCTTCCAATGTTGGCATCAATCATTTCAAACATCCGAGCCCCTCAAGTACAAACGGTGGTTAAATTTGCAATAAATATAGCCATGATTTGAAAATGAAGAAAACCTATGTTACACGAGTAACACGTTACAGTTTGCAATCAGAATGTATCCACAGTATCACATGTCGTATAACAATAAGATTATCCTGGATAGGATTGTAGGTGATTAAGTAGTCAGTGCGTAGTCGGGTAACGGTATTTCAGTTAAATCACATTTTGTTGGGTTGTTGGAGGAAAACCCAGTCTGATGTTGGTCTCCGACTTTCGGGTTTAGTTTGGTTGTTTGTTTGTTTTACGCCGCACTAAGCAACATTCCAGCTATATGGCGACGGTCTGTAAATAAGTCTGGACCAGATAATCCAGAGATCAACAGCATGAGCATCGATCTACGCAATTGGGAACCGATGACATGTGTCAACCAAGTCAGCGAGCCTGACCACCCGATCCCATTAGTCGCCTCTTACGACAAGCAGGGGTTCCTTAAGACCACTTCTAACCCGGATCTTCACTGGTATGAAAACACGTGTGTTCTCATCAGATTGATCTAGCCAATACGGTTCCACGTACAGATAGTTGAAATCATATCAAAATCATACAATCATTTGATGACAGTCTGAAATAAGCACTCCAGTGCAACATAAATTGCCACCGGTTTCCAATTTGATTTGCTGCTTGATTTGTTGTAACTTGTCAGACCAGGTTTTAACATTTCAAATATTTTACACTCAATGATATTAATTAAACGTAACGACATTTTTCTTTGTTTGTGTTTGACGTCACATCCTGCAATATCCCAGCAACGTGACAGGGCCTGTACAAAACCTGACAAATCAGTGATTGATATTATGAACACCCCGGGCAGTCGAGTACGATGTCCGACAAAAATAAATTCAAGGATCATTACCACAAGAATTTAATTTAAAATATATTGATAAAAAATATGATATATTAACAGATTATTTTCTTACTTAAAGTACACAGAAACAGAAAGTACGTTACATATGTAAACATACTGAGAAAATGTTACAAAAAGGGAAACTTTTCTTAAATGTGAACATAATATTTAATCATCTTCTATTTTATTTAATAAAAGTTTTGAAAACAGACAGCAATATCATCATTGATGTTCAGTCTCCCGTCAATCTAATCAAAACAAATGACCAACTGTTAAGGTTACTTTAATCACCTGTTATCTTTTATTAGTCAGTTATTGTTATGAGTGAGAAACTTTAATCACAAGAGATTGTCTTCATATTTCGTTGACATTTACACTTCCTCGCAAATACCATTGGAAGTGTACTTTTTGTTTAGCCAGACCATATTTCATTTTCGGAATTAAACGAATTGAAACGTTTTATAACCATGAACAATTCTTCAAACATCAAGCTTAATTCTCCGTTGATTGGATCTCATGTTAAAAGAGAGAAACGACTTCACTTTGGTGTATTCTTTTTACATTCCCTCGATTTCATAAATACTGTCATCAAGTTCAACTTGACTTTATGTAAACAAAATGATAGTATTACAATATATTCGTCAAGCAACACATATTATCAAAATTATACTAAAAAAGTGAATTTGCAAATTCTGTCAAGTCGGTTTAATTATTTTCCGATAATCTTTTTTGATTCATTGTGGTTACGTGTATTTATTTTTCGACCCTATTCTAATTCAGTGGTGTACGTATAGATTTCTCTGTGAACTGAGTGATCAAAATACCCAACGGCAAAATGGCCGTTATTGAATACGTTTGCTCTAGCTATAAAGTAAACACTGCACATAGCCGACCAGCTTACAATACAGTCTTCATTACATTGATGACACCTCTGCGTGTGTACGAGTCAATGCATATGGACTTGGTATAAAACCTATATTGTCCCCATGTTTACGGACAGGATTAACGTTACGTCATGCAACGTTACGTTACGTCACTAAGCATATGTCGACCAGAAGTGCCATTATTTGGCTCATTTAACGGTAATCTCGTGTTGATAAGAGCCCATACTGACACTGACGTAACCAAATGTTTGGTAATGACACCAAATGTACTAGAATGACTAAAATTATGAAATTTGTGTCACCGGTGGAACAGAACACACTTACCCTTTTCGACCAAACCTGGTATCATCACTGAATTTCAGAGATCCATTAGAGTTGCCAGTTGTTGGGTTTTTTGCCCAAAAGAATCTGTTTCGGTAGATAATCTGGCATTGGCATTTTATATTAACTATTGTTGATAAAGCTGGAAACTGTTTAATGTGTCATTTTACAAGACTCAAATTAGTTTGGCAAAAAGTGTTAAATATCAGTGTTAATAGATAAACTGAATACAGAATTTCATTACTGTAGTTGTAGTGAATGGCACATGTGCACGTTTACAACATGACTAACTGGGGTTTCCAAGCAACTGATTCATACATACGTCATGCCAAGAATGTAGCAATAGACGAAGTAGTTGTGAATTAATTCCACACCACAGGCATATCACTATCAAATGCTGGTTAGTATACTTCGAGCGATTAATGACTGTTATGTTCGATACCCTCAATTTCTGCTGAGAGAAACTGTGTGAATAGTGCCATGTTCAAAATATGATAAATCATCAATCAATTATCGTTTTAATTATACTGGGTATCAACTATAATATAAAGTTGCACGATATTTGTCCACATTGGATACTTCCTTACCACAGATTGTAAATGTTATCATTGTTGAAAAACGAAACTCGTGTCCTTTTGCACAAATTGGACGTAAATGTGTAGAGCAGCAAATAGTTATTGTTACACTATTCCTGTCGAATGGCTCAGAAGTGTCACCTTCCTGAGTACACAGCATATAGGTCATACAATCACATCTATTTCATAGATGAATAATGGAATATAATTATATCAAGCTTTGTGTGACTGATTGTTGTTTAATGCTGCACAATCATAGTGGCAAGGGCGGTCTGTTCATGCTACTTGAAAGAACAACACGGTGGTTTAACATCACAAGCATGGTCAGATGGGCCACAGGTCAGAAGCAATGGCATGCAATCCACAAAGTCGACCCTGACCATCCGCTCCATTTAGCCGCCTCTTACAAGTACAGGTTGCAGGGTGCATATTAGTCTGTCTTAAAGTCCCGTTCTTCCTAGTCCTCCCTGTAATACAAAAGCACTTAATCAAGCAAGTCTAGATTTTCCTCAGATTCTGAATCCTCTCTCACTTGCGCTCCTTTCTGATTTAAATGGTGTTCTCTGTTGCTATCAAAATTATATATGTATGATGTTATATTCAGATACTAAGCGTTAGTCTAGGTACTTATATTCTTAACCCAAATTCCTAGGAGTGTAAATAATGGAAACTTATCAATAAAACGAAACTGTTGATATGCTCCAGATTCTTTCATGAATTCGAATAGCATCTGATAATTTCCGAATTCAATCATATGGAAATAATACCGCTACCTAAAGCATACTTTGTGTACTGGCTATTGTCATAGTCTAGTTTCTAGTCTAGAGAACACATTCTGCTAAATATAAACTTTGATTTATAAACATTAAACGAATTAATGAATTGATTAAGGAGTCAATCCAACACTTATCAACAGGATTACAAATGAGACACCGGTTTAATGTCTATGTACTGTCAAATCATGTTCAACCATGTATGATATTTACATTTGTAATACAATGTTTTGCCATGGTGTTTACTGAACTGTCACTTTTCCCCAATAGCAGGTCAGCGGCGCTTGTCATTTAACAGTTGGGTATTTCACAGTTTCAATTATAAAGTTGTACAAAACACAAAGCTAGCCCTTAGGCATCATTGATGTTGAAAACCTGCTTTGTCGATGTCTCTTAGCAAAGACAGTGGAATCTACATCAAACCCCTTCCATTCCCAGCTCATTTTATTTCCCCAAACAGATGAGCGCTTTGATTAAACAAAGAAATTTGAAGGATATTAAACCATAAATGTAAAATCATCTCCCGAAACGCACTCTATTTCATCCGATTTTACAGCCAATTGTTTCGTACCGGTTACTGTTTCAAAAGAGCAATGAAAATAAAACATTTACATTGCTCTGTTCTTGATAGCGGTATGTGCCGATGAAACATTAAAGATTAACTCAACGTCCAAGAAGAGTCTCCCAATCACACAAGCATGGCCGTAAAGAGCGGTATCGTACAATATGGATGAGAAACAATATCTACTTCGGGCCTGGGGTAGCAAACTTTAATTACCCCCTGTTTGATGTGAATGATGGTTTGGGCAGAGATAAAACTAGCCTGGAAGATGGAAATGTCCCTTAAGGCTGGAAGATGTTAACGCCAGACGCTGAGAATATTCGTGTTTGCTAGCCTTGAGCATCTTCTACACGGCCCTAAAAGCCTATCTCCCACTCTTTATCATAGAGATTCAAACTTGGATTATGGCTTGGGGTCATGTCTTTCAATAGCCTTCACAAAATGGCATGAGAAGTGATAGACGCATGGGCCATCTCTGCCCACACGAAGCCCACTGCTTTCATCGGGGCTACCAATATGCCTCTCAAGAATCCCCTACAGTTGGAGTACGTTAGGGTGTCTATATATATGTGGTGTAGGATGTCATTTGCCTCACTTACCAACAAGAGACTACTCAGAACATTGCCAGGTATCGGTGCTCCTTGTGAAACATATATTTGGCATAAAGAGCATACGCCTTTCAGTCAAAACACAAAGAGCTGCCAACACTTTGGACTGGTTCTATTTTTGCATTCTACTTCCACTTTCCTTCCCGCAATTATTACATAGCAATAAGATAAACTTTAAAGAGTTTGTAATTCTTTTTCAATATTACTTGGTAAATGCCAAGGTTATATTGACTGATGCCAATTCCAAATGAGACCCTAACCTTTTGAGTCCAAGTATTGGTTGTCAGAAATCTGAGTACAGCTCATGGTTTAGCGTGACTCCAGAGAATCATATAAACAGTACAATTATTTATTACATACCATACAATACTGCCGGGGTTTAGAATGGTTTTCAAGTTATGCCCTTTTAGCATACCGTTGTAACATTTAGTGATGTGACACTGATTTTATCGGAAATTACTTATTTTATATTTATTTGAGGTAAAAAAGACATGTAATTTTATTCAGTCGAAATAAAACTATATGCCCGGACTGCTTTCAATGTGATCTCTTTGATCCATTTTAGAAGTTGATTAGTAATAATATGGGCAAGATGGATTCTTATGGATGACAACTTTATAACAAATAATGTGACGTTTCGTATACAATCTCACACCGCTCTGTGCTGTAGTGCCTTTTACTCTTGCTTAACAACGGTATAAGTATTTATAACGACAAGAGGTATGATTATATAACGACGAAGTTGTCATCCTATAAGACATCTTGCTTTCATTATTATACTCGGTCTGCCTTAATGACACAATGATGTTATTCTAAAAAAATGCACGTAATATACACAATAATTAGAACTTTTCGTGATAAAACTTTCAACGTTTTCGGGTCATTCGATGAGAGGCACAAGTAGTTTTACAGGCATTCCAGGAATTGTATGACGATGAGAATCTATATGAAGCACACGTTCCTCCGCACACCTTGGAATTAGGTCACCCTGCTTGGTAGCATCATCAGTATTTACAACCAATTTACACTTACAAGAAAAGCATCAGTGTTATTTTACACCCACCTACTTCTGAGTGTGATGTTGGCAACACGTCCAACTACAATGCTCGGATAATAATTAAATGGGACGGTGGTTGCTTTGAGCTGTTCCCCTCTGAACAAAACCAAAAGAAATCCCGAGATTAATTCTCCAAAACACTAACTAGGATATCAAAGTTGATCTTCAGGCAGCATCTCACGACTGTCTGGAACCCTCGGGGAAGGATCTTCCAGATTATCCCGCCATTTTGAAAAAATCAGACAGTTAGTTTTTCGCTTCCTATGATCAAAATAATATTAAATCCAAAGTTTATTGTCCGTATTCCTTAAATAGTGGTATATCCATTGATGCTAGGCCTTCTTTTGGTGTCTTCTACAAAGGCATCTCTACTCGTCTCACTTCATGAGACGATAGGACACTTCAAAGCCCTCCTAATCTCGCTGAGGGGCTGTGTTGGCCCTGCCTGACCCTCAGACGTGTATTTAAAGTCGATGTTTTTCACGCACAAGTACCCCCCTAGGTACTGCGCTATGTAACTCGCCATCTTAGCAAGAATTGAAACATTCACACTGATTCACGATTTCATCACCGGATAAATGTTATTTTGAGATGTAATGGAAGTGTACGATTGGAAAGCCACGTACATTTGTGAACTATGGAGGACACTGTCACATTTTGGCAAAGCTGGATGTTGTATTTAACCAAGATTCTTCTTTTGGTTTTGTCATTTAAACAAATATGATCGTATAATCATTTACGATTTATTACCTCTAATTTTAGCATGTAATGTGATTATTTCTTATCAATAGTTTTAATATCCGAAATGGAGCAGAAAGTTTCAGACTATCAGAACATAGGCACAATTAACACATTGCAATCATAAATGGCAAATAGCTTAAAAAGACATGCGTAATGTTCTTTAGGAATATAATACAAATATAACTCAAGAAAAACCTCCAATATCACCATGTAGAAACGAGATTCTGTAACATATTGTGTTGTTGTTGTTGTTGTTGCTGTTGTTGTTGTTTTTTTTGGGGGGTGATTTTGATATGTCGATTTTTTAAAATATTTAAATTTCAGTGTTGATCTTCATTTCAACAAATGCGTAACAATACGCTTTTTAATTTCAACTGTAAAACAGCATCTCTCTCCAAAATGAACACAAGATCATACACAGGCGAATATAACATATCTGAAGTATGTTATTTTAAAAATTGAAGTTTATCTAATGTGTATAATGTAGTAATGTTAGGTCAACATCCTGGTCCGTGTTTTTATATTTTCGTTTGTGTCTTGGTACCTAATAATCTGAAACACAAGGTCTAGATTCAAGTTTACAAAAAGTACATCATTATTCGAACAAAACTATAAATCAGTCGATCTAGTCTGTTATCATTCTACAGTTTGGGCATAATATTCTACTTAAACTTAGCACAAAAAGGTGTTTTCAAAGACGAGGAAGTCCTTATTATTTTTAATGATATAAGCATGTTAGTGTTTCTTGGCCGTTAATGAGAGTGTCCGAAAATGTGGTAATTGGGAAGCCAAAAACAATGACATCTCTGGTAGGCTTCTTGTTCTACACAAATACTTCATGGAGATTTCTGGCGGCTAAAACCACCACTTCCGTGTGGAGAAGAGGGACAAATACCGCACCAAGCTCAATTTTCATAATTATAAGGCCGTGTGATATCTTAATTAAAGGAAAACTTAGGTTTGAAATAAGACTTTTTCCTGCAGCCAGCCCAATTAGCAGTGTCCACGAGTTGGTGAAAATAGCAGGCCGCCTGAAGGGTAGTGTCAATTACACCCGTGCTGTACATCCTCCATATCTCTAGGAGCAAATGCCTTAAGACAGACAGAATTGAATACAACGAATAACCCAATAGATCATTATTAGACAAAATTAGCGGTTACAGTCCTATTCGTTCTCCCCGGGAACTTGACAAATAAGCATAATCGTCGTCGCGGCAAATTCATGATTTGGAAACCGGTTGGGAGACTTGTTACAAATTTTTAAACTTTTTTTTCGGCAGTTTCCGTCTGAGAATTTGCGCCTCCGAGCTCAAAGTGTCCGGTCGCTTGACTTTAATTCTTTCAGCCCGTCCTAACACAAGTTCTATTCAAAAGCCGTTCATTACAACCTTTCTGGCCCGCTCTCTGCCCCTTGGACATGGGAAAGTAAGCCAATGTCGCACGCCTTTCGTGCTTTGACGTATGCGAGTTTTCCATATTCTCCAACGCCCAATAGGACTTTAGGCAACTTTCGGGTCCATGCACCCAAGAAATAGGGTCATGCCGAAGAGGTGCCTCTATTAATAAAGGATTTTGTATGCTTCAGATGTCAATTATCTTTGTTTAGGCTCTAGGTGGACTAATTCCCTTTCTATCCTTGCTTAAAGACAAGATGAAGTGGAGGTGTAATCACCAGGTAGCCATTTCGCTCATGTGGATTTTATATCATAATAAACTCACGTTGTACCTCCAGGTTACTTTATCTCACCTGAGAGAATTGGTGTTCATTGCAGTCAATCACCAGTCTTTCAAACAGCTGATCTGTTTACGCAACATTTAAAGAATGCGCGTTTGCATTAACAGATTCCCTGACACCCCTTGGAGGTAAAGAAAGGAGATGAATAATTTGATTATGGTAGGAATATGTGTCCGGGTGTTTTGGCAGGTATATTTATACCGTTGGCGGTTATAAACACAATAAAACAATTCTTTAGGGTATTTATCAGTTCTATCTGTCTGGATTTATTGTGAAGAATTCAACGCTCGATGACTTAATGAAATGTTCAAACTTTAATTTGATCAATCTTATCTCGACAAACCCGTATGCAATTCGTTATAATAGTTATGTGAAAATATATATAAGCACTTTTTTAAATAACGTCAAAGTTCCAAATTCAAATTTCTCAAACCTAGAACCTTCGGGCTAATAGGAATAGTTTCCTCTTGTTTTGATCATAACACTAGTTTGAACTTTTAGGTTTTATCTTTTACTAAACAACCTCGGTAACTTGTCAGTTTTTAATGTCAAGCGAGATATCAATAATTATACTGATAATTTCAAAACGAATATTAAAGCATTTTCCCCCAATGCCTCTACGCAATGGCATATCCTAATAATCACTATTAATGATACATATTCTTTACCAATATCAGGATCCGAGCTTCTGCGTCAACGAAACAACAATATGTTTTCTTGTTATGTAAAAGTATTTTTGTTTTCTTTTGATCACATACAATGTTCAGGAAATGAATTATTTGTCAGTTATTAATACCTTAGATCGCACTACCAACATAAAAATGAACATATCTATAAGTCCAAACTGTTTAATTTGTAGTGTATTATATTCATCCCAGATGTTATACGAGATGGAAAAATGGAAGTTTTTGGACTTGAACATCGATGTATAGGCAACTATTGACAGACAGATTTTATTTTCAGTGTAAGGCCACTGGCCAAAATACATTTATACACATGAAACAGATATACAACATGCTTTAATTACTATTTTTTTTAATAAGGCGTGTAACTTTAGAAGAAAATAATACAACTTCTGCAATGTAGTTTCTCCAGTTGATTGTAGCAGAGCTTTTAGTATGTTCATGGTTGGATTTTGTAAATAGAATGGTTTTAGATGTGCCTTCCTTAGTTCACTGTATGATGGGCACTTTAATAGCACATGGCGTTCGTCTTCGATAACATGAATGTTATTTTTCTTGCATCTGTTGCATATTTTTTCTTCCCTCGGAATATTGTTATGGCGGCCTATTGTCGAGCATCTAAACCTCTACAAATTTAAGAAATTGAACATTGAATAACTGTGACCCTTTTCAGGGCATTTCAGATGTCTAGTTTGAGTCTTAAACAAGTTTGGGTAAATTGTGTTTGTATGTTTTGCTTCTATATTCTTCTTTTGAAATATGTTTTGGGAACAGGGATAACGATGTTATTGCAGTTTTGTTGCTTTCAATTTATTTACCTTTTAAAATTCCATTGACTATTTCAAAGTCTGATTTTGAAATTTTGAATTTTAAGATGTAACAGTAATGACGTAATATAGATTTCTGGATAGTAATTATGCCTGTAAGAATAGCTTGTGTTCAATGTTCTCATTTGAAATTGCATGCGAACATTGTGTTCGGTGTGTTCTGGCTAAAAGATACCGTTTTTGGACCTGGCTATTATTTCACTTTAAAATGTTACATACAGGATTAGTAATGAAGCATGTGCTGCACGAACAGCAACAACTCATATCTACTTCCATTTAACAATAAACCGAGATCCATCCACGAAACCAAATATCTTCCAGCCATGTGTCATATTGTCTGGTCCTTGCCACATACTTGAGGATCATGTTTTTCACAAACAATTCTGACCGACATCACTCAGGATATTTCCAACTAATATACCCCATTAATGTAGAAGGTATGAATTAGCTGGTCTTCACGAAACGTTGTTAATATTGTGCTAAGTATGGTCCTGGTATGACATGCGTTTGTCTGCTTGACATGCTATTTAAGATGGACATTTTCAATCGTAATCCCTTAATGGCATATTCACAAACAATACATATTGGATCTCCGTGTCATCTTACTTCTCGGCATATCTAATCATGCTGCATTGCTGTCTGGTAGCATGCTTCTCCGACATGGGCATAATGATCATTGGCGGTTAATAGCATATGTTTAATAGCAATTTCCTCTAAATCCGTGCCAGAGAAATTCACACGTTCGCGTACAATTTATGACAGTATCTCTGGACCAAGATGAAAAATACGTGGTGTCGTGGATAAAAAAATAATATTTTTATGCAGGGATTACCTGACAGGCGGCCCCACCCCAAATTAACTTGCAGTGTTACCCAGCGGTTCAGCCAAGGAGCATTTATCTGCCTGTATGTAGGGTCGTTGTATCCAGACTCGGATAATGTTGGTCCGGCCGTGTGTGTTACACCGACAGTGCTAATCAACAAGACTCAAAACACGGGGAGTATGTAACTCTCTTCATAAGGTTTTAATTAGATTAAAAGCCTGGGTGTTACAAACCTTGGGGGTTGATACGGTGGGCCCGGTCGGTCGCCTGCGTGACGGTGGTTGGGCCTTGGGGGTGCGGCACGGCCCATGGAAGACAAAAGCAATTAGTATAACGTGTAGGGTTCAATCAGAGGAGGGCTTCGGGGAACAAGCTTGCAAACTATTGATTAGGGTTTTTAGATTTCATCACTAATTTTAGACATTGTTAACACACAACTTAACATCACACATTGTGTTTGTTTAAAACTTAAGAGAGAAATTCTTAATAAGTTGAAAGTGATATGTTGCGCCTTAGAGAACAAATATGTCTGTGAAATGTTTTGATTCTCTTATTTATCAAAAGGACATGGAACAGCTGTGATAAAGAAGGTAAAGTGGTCCATTACACGAACCTTTGAAGAAGCGAACGATGAAAAGTCTATATCCCAAACATACCATCTATATCGACCGACTTCTTCGTTTAGAAGTTGGGGGTCTAAGGACGGAAACAATGTGTGCATCAACAACGTATTCATTACAGTGAGAGTAGGTTCTAAAACCGCATCATTTGCTTGATAACGGTGTTAGAACCTACACCGAAACGTCGCTGTCACTGTATAAAGACGTTGTTCATCCATATATCGTTATTCTTCCTCATTTACATTGAGGTATATACTAAGGTTACGTTAGTTCCGAAAAGAAACTTGGATCAAAGAATTGCATGAGCAATATGTCGTCCAATTACACTTAAACTTCATCACCCTCGTTGTTCTTTCGCCTGTATTAAATCGCCATTATAAGTCAATCCATCAAGACGGTCAAACAGCTCAGCTGAAATTTGAAACTAATTTGCTACTTCACAATAAAAGGAAATAACTGCTATTTCCGATTTTATAATTAACATGTGTAACACGAAGCACTATCAAATACACTAAAATACCAGGTGTTCTCAAAAATCGACATTCTTTCCGTGTACTAGTTCCTGTACGTATCTACAAGATATCACCATAAGTACCATTTTGAATGATTTCTGTTTCTTGAGTTACAATTAGATTTACAATATTCAAACACCAACAAACTTAAAACATCAACACTTTCGACGAATGCATTTCGTCTGTGCGCTGTGTCATTACACTGTATTCGTTAAAAAAGGAATCTGCCAACTCCTTTGTAATACAGGTAAATCTGAAACTTTATAAAACTGACATTATATCCATTTAATTTGTTCTGTATCTACAGTTTAAAATTGAAAGCATTTTAAGGCGCTATGAAAAGTCTTATCAAACATAACGAATGTGTTCTGTAGCTTCGTTTTTACATTAGCGTTGATCCCTGTTTGCGTTATGGCCGTGGTGTGCTGTTACAAATCATCGAACCAATATTAGCACTTATACTATGTGCATTAATGACGGAAATCATCATATTCCACATTACAAAGCATGTATCAAGATATCAGAAATGTCTTGCAAAGCAATTTACAAATGAAGAAGAGTATATGAGTACGGGTAGAAGTGCAGCACAAAAATAGACATTTACTTCCTTGATCTGGACTCTGTTTTTAAACATGAACCCATAGTAAAATTACCCCAAGCATTTCCTTGTTAAGTGCTACATCCATTACCTGTCAACGTCCACTCTCGCCGCCGACACGCCAGATTCAAACTAAAGGTTTTTGTCAAGGTATTTTTTTTCGAATGGAAAAGTACAATATCTGCAAACATGTTTAGCAACATTTTCAACATATGATACCTCGTTGAAATTTTCAACATATGATATCTGGTCGATCTATATACATATCATATAATTAAAACAGACTCAAATTTGAAAATAGCCCATGTTGAATTGTTTCATAAAATGCGGGTAATGTTGGAAATATAAAAGCTCAACATAATATCTTAGCATATTTACTAAACCATTGTCCTATCTATAACAAATATACATTTGAAGAGTAGAAGTATATAGTACTGACGAGTAGATACATGCCCTCTTGGACAAATGTGATCATTGGTGTCACAAAATAGTGATAGTGAAAGAAATTAATACGGGTGTAATAGTAAACGTTATAAACACGAACCGTACACAATAAACCCTTTCTAAACCAAACCCTTTGTAATCTAAACATCTACAGGATCGGAACTTTCAAATTTTTAATAATTTCATTATTTGTGTTTCTATCAGATTTCTGTAGGTTTTGATTTTTGTGACACTATATATGTAATGTGACTTTGGGCCAAGACATATCGTGTTCGTGTAGAGACTAATTACCAACAGGAATTATATTTGGAATTTGTTATAAAACAAAAAACGCCAAAACCTCATGAAAACAAGGTACCAGAAAATGCAATACACCTTCAATGTGTTTCGCCCTGTATTTTTCGTGATATTTTCTACGAAAGAACACATTAAACAAAAACAGAGAACATTAAGCTTGGTGTAAACTTTGCTGTCATAATCTCAGAACGAATTTTATTACACAGAAAATGATCCCGGAAAAGGGTTGGCCTTGGACCATATGATACGGGGATGAACACCCAGGTCAAGTAGCCTCCCATTAGACCATGATTTACCTGTGTTTAGGAGTGTTACCTTAGCTGATGACCTCTAAAGATCGATCATCGATCTCAAGTGTGATTAAAACTTGACAGGTGTTTCCGTCCTATACATTTCTGTCTTGTTTGATCCTCCAGGTGCAGCACAAGTCTTTTCTCTAATATCTCCCATTCCTCAAATCTAAATTATTGAATTATCGTCAATTTTCTCCATAATTTATATCTTAATGAGCTCTCCACATCAATGGCCAAACGTGTAAAATTTTGATCGGAAATGACATTGTATTTCCTCCGGTGAGCTTTCATCTCATGATTATGTAATGTTAAGCTACTGCTTTGATATTACACCAAATGTAAATGTTGAACAGGTATTTATCTTTTATGATATCGTATCCGAAACAAAAGCATGTTTTGTTTAATCACAGATCAAGCAGTTATGATTTTGGCGGAAAAATAAACTTTTAAAACTGATCTGATTACTCAAAAGACCAAACACGACCACTGACTATTTCTTTCAAATAATTTCAAAATCAAATCTCCAATTGAATAAATTCTCAGAATTCATAAACCAGATCACGGCAATTCATAATTATTCTTGTTTTGTTGATGTTATAATTGTTGTGACATTATCTTCGCTATGAGAATGACTGCTTTTAGTGACTTTACATGCAAAGCGTCAGTGCAAGAGAATACCCAGTTTTGACTATTCTCAGAAACAGATTCTGTTTACAAGTGAAAGTAGCTGTGAAAACTGTCTGAACGGAGGGAGCGTTCAAAAATTTACGAAATGATGTCATTCGTGTTCTAAAAGACACACAGGACTCTTAAACGCTAACATTAACACTCTAAATACATTATGAAATTGAGATCATTAAACAATGAAATCATAGAAAATGAAAAAGCATTTAGACTTTGGATTGAAAAGCATTGTTTCCGTACATCCAAGCACATATTCTCTATTATTTTGCTGTTACGTTGTACATAATGGTTGGAGCCTAATGTTTACAAACTGTAAGACAACGCATACTTGTTATGACACTGACATATCATTCAGAGGTTTAAACTTGTCCATATTTGCATTATCTACAAAGATGAAATCCTTAGTTTCTGGCATATCGTTGGAAAAGGTTATTTTACAAAACAGGAACGGAATCAGTGGAAAAGCCGATTCTGTGTTTATATTTTCCATATTCTATAGAAGAAAGTACGCAAGTATACCTTGTTTTAGGTTCTAATTTATAAACAACGAATTATTTTTTAAGAAGAACATATTGTTCATTTGACAAATCCACATTTTCCACATAATATTCTATATCTGAAGTAATTTCGGTTTGTTGGAAATTACAAAATCTGATCGACCGCGTTGATATTTCATGTTCATTGCACATTATAGAATGTATACAATTCACAATGGACATCACATTAATTAGGTTCTTTACAAAATGACTAATATAAAGAAATTTAGTTGTTAATATACGAAGTCTGCGGAATTTGTTCCCTTTATCGCGTGAAGACTACAACAAACAGAAAGCTTAGACACAATCCCACTCTTGACATAATACCCAGAATTGATAGGATCCAATAAAGACAGAGAAATTATTCGAACTTACATACCTGCCCGTGCTGCAGTCGGCTGTAATCACCTTAGTTTGAACCAAGCCAAGATGGCCATAGGGGGAAGCTAACCGGATTAGGAAAACTCGTCTCAGTTCAGATAAAAGTTCCTCTCCGTGCCTCAGGTTAGCGTTTGTCCCGCAATCAGATTTTAAAGAATTATTACAAAGAAACGATTTTTACTGAAAAGAGATTTCGTTTACATTACTGGGCTAGACGGCAACATAATGTGGTGCGTTGGTGAAACAGAAATAGTCAGAGTAGGAGTTCTTGGAAACATAGCGTCATGCGTGGCATTATGTGCATTTAACATTTAAAATGTATTTTGGAGTATTTCAGATAATTCGAAGAAGTAACAGTTTGCATGTTTTTTATGAAAAAATGCTTATACAATCATGAAATAGTACACAACATTTTATGTCTCATGTGGCAAAGATATTATTTTTCAATACCATTTGATCATTTTCAATGTGTCAAATATGAAACCTACTCTTAAAAAGTCAGGGAAATGAGATTCTCAAAACGCAGCTTCCGTCTTCGTGCTGTTCAGCGAATGCTAGAGGATTTTGAAGTATATCTGGAAATCGTATTCAGTTTTCGAAGGATGAATTTACTGACATTTACCTATTTTCATGTGTATTCTTAAGAAGAAATTAAACACTTACATGAATATGTCGATACGTTGGCAGTGACATTCCATAAAACTCGGATAACTGTCATTTGCATATTTCTGGACTATAATGCTCATGAGAGTGAATGACAGAACATCTAGAGAAGTGTTTTAACTCTGATGCCATCCATATTTGATAGTGATCCATAGTCACATTATAAAATATATTTGAGCTCGCATTTTGAAACGTATTATGACGGATATTGATATTTTCACAAAAACAAATTTAAAATAACCTTTAAGAATATCTGTGGTCTCGTTTATACGTGTTCTATAAGAAACGAAATTTGGTTACACTCGGGAAAAACGTTTTCATAAGTATATATATATACCAATATATCACATTTTGTTATTTACACATACTTTGGACAGTGCTTGTAGACAGAGATTTGAACATTTCACGTTATGGTTATAGTTACTAAGAGACAATTTTCGTATTGAGGGTTTGGGATTGTTCTTGTCATGAAGAGTTTTACAATAACATGTATACACTATTCTGTATCCTGAGAAGACTAACATCTGTATTGTCTTCTTGAACAGTGTTGATGGTGGTTTTACAAAACGGTTAGTATCACATTTATCTACTTTCATTTGAAACATTCTCCGCATGTACGTTGTGGTTTCAATTACTGCCGTCGTCTCCTTTGTTACACAATGGAAATCTAACGTTTCCTAGAATACGATTAGTTGCTATAAATTCCACAGCGATCGTTTAGACCCGATTCTTGGAATCCTTATTCTGGAAATGCCCTTTAGTGCTTGCGGTTTCGCCTCTGCAGAATATTATTGAAAACCATACGGTTCATGGCTTCTCAAACGAGGCGCGAAAACCCTTTCCCGTTCTGAACATCGCCAAAACACACCAGACTTCATAGCACCAGAAGACGAACCGTCCGCTCTAGGCACCAACACATTCCACTTGTCTACGCCTGTGATTTGTGATGAATAGATCAGACTTATGTATTTATCCAGAGTTGGTGGATAAGAACCCGAGGGATTGAATATAGTTTGATTCCTGACAATATCGTACCTGGTATCACCTCGACAATATCGTGTTCTCATCCTCGCTCACCCTTCATGGTGTTACGAGCTCCCTTATTAAAAAATCGTAATTATATTTGTGCGTAGCGTAGTTACAGTGTGAGCTTAGGAAGGCGATCTCCCCACTTTTGTGCGTTAATTTCAATTTTGAGACGTCCCCTGAGGGTGCGTCAAGCAGTTTGGAATCAAGTCACTCGTCCAATATCCGGCTCGCGCCTTGCCCGCCACTAAAATCAAGCAGGCAAGGCCCGAATTTTGCCGCGAGTTATCTGTCCATCTTTTCCTAGTGAGGTCCGTGTAGGTTGTCGCTCTTAGTCGCCTCTAAAATGGAGAGTAATCAGTTTAGCGTTCATTTGTGAGGGAAAATGAACAATTTCCCCGATTAAATGCATTTTCACCGCCTCCAGTTATATAGATAAGGCGCATATTATCAGATGCACTCAAGTATTGTTTCACGTGCAATACGCTGCTCCTACGATTTCATTGCCCAATACAATATCATTTTCACAATTCTCTTGTCTGGTGGAAAATTGAATCCTTTCTGAGCTTAAATCAAAGCATCCTGTTTGTAACGTCACGATATAATCAATAGCATCAGTTCAAAGAAAAAGAATATCGAATGTGCTGACGTTTTAAACAAGGAAAAAGTTGAAAGTAAATTGTTGAATGGTAGACTTCCACAGGTTGTAGAGTGCACAAATTAAAACTTTTCTCATTCAAATTTCAATGAAAATCTGGATCCTAAGATATTATAACATGATATCAACTGTGTTTTCTGAAACTGTAGAGGAACAATTCCCTAGCTGACATACTCAGTGGGAGAGGTCTGTTATATTGCAATATTAAAAATACTCCAAAGGGGTTAACTGGATAGATGTTACAGACTCATGACCACTTTTCACCTGTCCACTGCAACACAAAAGTGTTAAAGAGATCTGATTTTGGATCTATACCAGGTATCCAGTTTTCATGCCCAAGGGCCCTGAGATTCGGCTACCGATGAGACGAAACGTATGAAAAAAGAAGAGAGTGTGCTCTTACAAAATTTGTCATAATGACGGGTCGTATGCATGGGATGTGCCCATACTCTTTAATGATTCTTTGCAATTAGCAATTCAAACATTAGATTACACAGTATAACATTTCATTTATGCAGCTAAGTTTCAATATGGCGCCTGATACAGTTCAACTCATCCGCGAAACATGAGATGTTAATGTCTCGGGCGGATAACCCTACGCGCTGCAAACGAGACCGCACTAACAAATCTAACAAGCACGTGTAGTGCACGAGGAAGGGTGGGTATATACCTGCTCCAACCTTGCTACGGAAATTAAAAACATGTCATGAAGATTCAAGCCGACGTGCACAATGGTCGTTTGTAGAATGCTGACTGATTGGCACTACTTACGATGAAACAATATGGCCGACTGTTTAACTGCTGTGTGCGTGCATTAGGAAGGTTAGAAGTAACACGACCCCTCTCTTGTCTTTGGCGATGACAGGAGGCAACATGACATAAAGTGACAGAAAAGAAATGAACTCGGATTAGTTTTGGGATAATGATACTTCCTGGGATGAACATGCACGTGCGGGGTTCGCTCGCAAGCCGCTGTAGGCCGCCATGTTTGTTTTCTGGCTGACTCGACGGTACAGTTTCTTTCCTTTGTGCGTAACACAAAACTATGGTTTACATTCGTGTGCAAACAGTGTGGTTTGTGGCAGCATAACATGGAGAATCCACCCGAAGTATCATATTACCAACAGAATACATTCAACAATGTTAACAAGCCCTTTGAACTGACAAGACACCTAGGTTAGACGTCAACGTCGTAAATGATTAGTCTGAACCCACCAAGAAAAGTTAAATTACACCGATTAAAAGTGTACAATATGTAAAATCACTCATTAACGATATTTAGACGTAGACGCAAAACTTTACTTGAACTCGTACAGAATTATATAATATACCTTTGGATTACAAGTTGATGTTTCAGTTTCGCAGATTACTTGCTTCATCCTCAACACAACATATCAAATATCCTAAATACGAAAAGTAGCAAAAGAAACAACGCACGGTTGTGTCCATCCAACCAGAATTTGCGATTAATTCCACGAAACACAGGTTCCCATATTGCAAGTCGACCAACAACGTATATCCACAAACGATCTCAGTATGGAAGTTGGCAGAGAGATGCCCACATTTATACCACCTTATGTCTATACATTCAGCCTGTAGCTCCTGCACCCTCAAGAAAACATCAACATGTTTCAATCGTTTACCCCATCGGGATAAAGTCGGTTTGCCCCTAGTGATGTACTGTCCCGGTGGCGGGCGACATGACGCTCCTGGACCTGGAACTTCCTGTGGTGCTGTGGGCTTACACAAGACATAAGCCTGAAGACCAGGGCACCATCAGATCTGGAGGCAATTTCATCATATTAACAGTGCATCTAGAGGTCAAACTTAATCGACCAAGTAATTGTAGGATGTATTGTGACTCTTGATGTAGCTGCCTGTCAGATCCCCATTGCAGTAACATACAGTGGATATAACGAAGCCACATTCTTAGAGCTTGACTGTCATGTTTTGCTTCCCAGTTGTTCCTACCAAATATTATGAACAGGTAGTCAATATTCCATCAAATTGTTCCTTCTTTAAGAAGAATATTTTAACAACGATTTTAGCAACCAATTTCATACCGGACCATATGGCAGGAAGGACCAACTTACGTACATGTTTTGTATGTCTTCAAATACCAGAATGACCTCTTCTGGAATGTTTAAGAACTGCTTTTCGTATAATACCAATTTTAGACACAATGTTTCTTTAAGCACATACATTTTAATTTCGGCTGCATAGTATGATCGACCTAATAACAACGTTAGACAAGAGATAAATGTAATATATTCAAGTAATTATGTAGACACTACACATTAACATCAAATTCAATACTTAATTTGGTTTTCCATAATCAGAATGGACAGACTATGATTTTAAATTTACAGTTAATGGTTAACGCTTTCTCTATGACCAATTTACAGATTATTTTACACCATATTCAGGATTGGTTCGGTTAAGCAGGTTTGTTATTAAAATTTATACTTTCCTTTAGAAATCTAGCAAAGCTCCCTTTCCTGCATTTATGAAAATATTGTCCCTTGAAGCTATATTGACATGAGACGGCAAGGTTAAATATAACTGCAAGTCGATTCTTCAAAAGTGAATTAATATCGTTTGTCTTTCATGTGACGACAAAGGGTATCAGTACTTCCTAGATAATCAAACTTTATGACCTGTGTGCCATGAAAATACAAAATAAAATCAGATAATGTCGGCATGATTTATATATGAAACAAACCCGAATTGTCTCTATTGCTTTGTACCAATGCGTGATTTCTTCGATGTGGTTTTAATAACCCGT